TCATCATAAATTTAAATGTACATCGTTACCTAAACAAATATAACCACCCAGCTATCCAACCAACAATAGTTCAATTAATCAAATCTAAATTACAATAAATAAGAAAGTTAAAAAAGGATGCTAGAAAATTACCAATCGCAACAATTAAATGTTATTCTATCCTGTCTGGATAGATCACACACAGATTCGTTCAAAAGATAATGTTTGGTTGCTTTACAACACCAAGTGTTTTCAATTCTGGAAGAGTGCTTCAACTCACAATCAAAAATGCACAATTCCAGTCAATGCACGCAACACAATCAAAGGGAGGAACAACCCAATATAGCTGCCGCCAAGAATAGGTATCAAGTCAAACAACATAAATGCAGTTCAAAAAGAAACACGGAAACTTAGTGAAGGCGTAAGAAAAAATAAAAACTATAATAAAATACAAATGCTATTAACTCAAATGGAATGAAAAAGACTAATAAAAATGTACAACCAAAGGTATCAATAAGAATAAACTGCAAGTGTATACATGGAGGGATTTTCACACACAAATAATTCAAAATGGATCTTACAATGGGTGCGACATGCAAACCAGATACAGCCAACCAGAAAAGAGTGGGAAACAGGAAATTCTGTAAAGTCGAATATACCAATAAATATATTAACTGAGTCAGATAATGAGATTAAAAATCACCCGAATAATAACAAGACGCATACAACACTCCCAAAAAGGTCGCAGCGCATCAGGCGGAAACCTAATCGAATAAAAATAAATCCTAAGGATCATTATTATCTCTAACGCTTCATAAAAGAGGTGTTATATCCCAGTGAAGATTAAATTACAGGTAACTTCCAAGGACTATTAATGGACTTATACTCTATAAATATTCTTATTGTATAATTATTCAAGAATTACTTTATGTGTACTTATATTCCACTTATTATAAGCTTTAATTTGACTCATAGGTTATTACTATACGATTTATTATTCTTGAGTTATGGCCTGTCTGTTAATTACTATCTCCCACGTTCACAGCTACTTTTTGGCTTATATGTGTACACATGTTATTTTCTATTTTATGGTACGTTGTGGTCTGTCTGGTTAATATATAAACTGAGTATGTCTGAAATAAATGATTCGATTAATATTACAGAAGCTGGTATTTCGTTCTGGACTCAAGCGAACAGGTTAGAAGGACACAGGACCCAATAAGGACGCTAGATTGCTCAGACCGGTTGAACGTCGTTGCTTTTGTCATAGTGCGAATATTTGTATAAATCGTATTCTGATTGGTGGATAAGTCACCTGATCGGAAGCCGGACATAAAATCATAACACCTTTCATGTTATTCAAGAAATACCCTTCCGTGGTGTGGGAAGCCGTGAAGTGGCATCAACCCTCGTACCCGTAACAGCACACGAGACCAAGTTGGTCACAATCAAATCCTTCCTACACCTCCTAATATCTCTCTTATCTCCACGCCTGATCCCCCCTCACGTTTCTTTATCACCTCGCGCCGCTAGTGCAAACGGTTCGAGCACGTGTAACGTTATTCCTGGTATCCTGAAACCACGCTCTAAACTACATGTAGGAGCTTTCAACGTCCGAACACTGAGCAAATTAGGACAACAGACTTCCTTAGCTAGGACTTTAGAATCTCGCGCCATGGATGTGTGCTGCGTCTCCGAAACGCGCATAGACGATTCGAGTAGCGTCATCCATTTGACCTTACCATATCAAAATAAAGAGCAATCTCGATTCACGCTTCGTGTATCTGGAAGCCCCGATTCTACTTCTCGTGACCTCACTGGCGTAGGTATAGCATTGAGTCCTAGGGCAGAACTAGCTCTCTTAGACTGGATCCCAGTAGATAGTCGTTTGTGCTCTGTCCGACTAAACGGAACGTTAAGGACTGGGAAAGATTTGGACACTCGTCGTTGCCTCTTCGTCGTCTCTGCCTACTCTCCCACTGACTGCAGCTCGGATAAGGTAAAAGATGAGTTTGTCACTGAAAGGAGTATCAAAGAAGTACATTAACCTTATACAGGCTCTCTACTCGAACACAACTGGCCGAGTGTTAGCTTATGGCGAACTGTCATCAGAATCGATTACATCAAGTGGTGTTCGTTAGGGCCGTCCACTCTCTCCATTCTTGTTTAATTTTGTCCTTGACGTGCTTTTAGAGATGACACTTTCCTCATCTAAATTTCCAGGGGTTGAACTTCTACCGGGAGATTCATTTGTTGACTTAGAATATGCCGATGACATAGTTCTATTTGGTGAAGACGCTGACAAAATGCAGAGTCTGCTGACCACTCTAAGCAACAATGCAAGGATGTTCAGAATGCGATTCTCCCCCTTGAAATGCAAAATGTTGCCTCAGGATTGGGTTGCATCGGCACCTGAACTAGTGATAGGGAGTGAAGAAGTTGATCATGTCGACCGCTGCACTTATCTTGAGAGTATCATCGACCCTTGTAGTCTGGTGTGTGACGAAATCTCAGCACTGATACAGAAGGCTCGACTAGCTATTGCCAACATGCGTCATTTATGGCGTAGGCGAGATATCCGTCTACCAACCAAAGGATGGGTTTACCGCGCAGCAGTTCGTTCCGTCCTACTTTATGGCTGTGAAACATGGCCGGTAGGAGTAGAGGATATCCGCTTGTTGACAGTATCCGATCGTAGGTGTCTTTGAAGCATTACTCGTACATCCTGGGACCACCGAGTAAGTACTTCAGTTGTTAGGAAACGAGTACTAGGTAAGGATGGAAAATCAACTGATAAAGTAGCGGAACTTCATCAGTTGAGATAGCTGGAACATGTGTTACGTATGCCTAACCACCGACTGCCTCGACGTGCGATGTTCAACGGTGTAGGAGTAGGTTGGAAGAAAGCTAGGGGCGGCCAGACCAAAACATGGCGCAAATCCAAGAAGTCACTGACAAGTGGACTGGGCCATGTTGGTAGGTGTAGACTACCTGGTTGGGATCCGCGAGACGATAGCAACCGATGGTTAGAGACCTTGAATGACATGGCTCAAAATCGTTTGCAATGGTGCGGGTGCATCCACTCTTTGTGTTCTTTCAAATTCTAATCTTCTGAATTCTTCATGTCCCTTTTTTCTCTTTCCAAATTTATTTCACTGGATTATACTCCTTGAATAAAATCTTCGAACCCGAATGTTTCCGACCACTGCTTACACTTTTATTACCTCTACCACTATGGTATTTGTATCTACTATTGTATCGCTGTGCTAATATGGTATGACAACTTGGACAGTTGTGTTATAATTTTCGGACGATCTGTGAGTGACGCTAAAGTGAACTTTTGACTATCCGTTCAATTAATATGAACACATAAATGTTATAAATTATATGAGGAGTTGGAATTATGATATACAGTTGATGATTATGGTTAGGAGTTAGATTTATGGTTTTCATCACAAACTGACATCAGCTAAAATGCTTAAACTATAGTGAGCCAAATGGATGGGTCAATTTCACGCCAAAACCGAAATCTATAATCGTATACCTGATTGGCTCGTCCATAAACTATGGTCTCGTTAAATACTTCGACACAGTGCTGTACGTATTCCTGATAGAGGTTTAAAAATGGGTTTCACCTACACACTTATATTCTGACTGAGAAATCACTCAGAGAACAGGATGTTTAAAACCAAGCTGGATGGAATGAACACGAGCTGAAGGGTAACGATATCAGAAGATTCATGGAGAACTATCATATGTTCACTCCCCTAGCTGATTTTGAATAATGACTAATTAAATATAGTTAGCTCACAGCATCAAGTTATTCAAACGGTGGTAGGATGTTGGGGTTCACAAAAATCAAAAAGGATTCTCTCGAGCTTTTAAAGAACATTACAGAAATAGACGAGTGAGTGGCAGACAATGAATTGAAACGTAATTTGTCGAATCTCCATGACGCGAATATTGTACCATCATTTGACGCTGAGCAACTACGAAATTTACGGAAATTCGCTCTTGATTGTCTCCTCAGAGAATGATCTCGTGCTTGTAAGCACGGGACTTAAAAACCGGTTTAAACTACATGAGTGATGCAGTCACGGAAAACTCAAATCTCCATTCTATGCGAAGACAGCTTGGCGCAATCACACCAGAATTGTTCCTAATACTTCCTAAAATTTACACAAGGCCCCACCTTGAAGTCAACAATGTCGTTGCACCCCATCTCTTTAAAAGAGACATAAGTCTCTTAGACCGAGTACAGAGATAAGCAACTAAGTGGGTGATGGGGCTAATGTATGAATCTTACGAAGACAGGCTTCAACACCTGGGATTATTCTTACCGAGCTGTAAAAGAACAAGAGGTGGTCAGACGATCACATACAGCTCATTTAGTGCACCAAGCCATTCCAACATGTGAATCCAACCATAATATTACCTTCATGTCCCTTGGGATAACCCCTGGAAAACTACACAACAAAGGGCGAAGAACTGGGTACGCTCTTTTCACTTTTGGTTGAGGTTTGCTCCACTCGTGGTACTCAATCAGCAGATGTGACCACAGCCATCCAGTGGATACCTTCAAGAGGAGGACTGAACAACACGTACCGATCCTTGGACTACCATCCCTCACTTAAACATGCAGCGTTTGCTGCATGTCTTGCAACTTACCTACTGTTATCATCACATACCATTAACCTATTTTATTCTCGCCTATAATTATCTCAGTTTTTCCCTTTTATTCTCATACTTAAGTCTTGATACACTGTCTACATCGCCAACTAATTAACTGTTCTACTTATTTACATCTTGAAACAAACACCTCTTATCATTCTGACTTTACCTTTGGTAATTTCCACATTTTAAACAACCAACATTCTACTCGGTAGTGTGATAGCTGGTGGTATCTAGAAACCTAGTGTCCTGAGACAAAAGCACTTCGATTACAAGATCGATCGGTCTAATAAAATAGGAACAATTAGATAATTTGCCATCGGCATTCAATCCTCCAACCACAAATCTGTACCTGAATCAGCCGGAACATACAAATTACTACTTACGGCGCGTTGTGATCCTGTGGTGAGCACTTCGGTCTTACTGTTGTTCCCCATGCGTATTTACCCGAACGTTCATAAACGAGATCTGTTTTCCACATAGATCAGTTTAAACAGTTATTAGTGTCTTCGCATTTATGTAGCAATAATCATGGCTTATACAGAACCTCTGGTAATTCGTATTTCTGTTTATGACCCTTTACGGTCCAAAACCAATGTAAAACAGATCCCTGCTATATTGTTTCCTAGTTACACATTTTTGGTTATTTTACCGACTAGATCTATTCAATTCTGACGAAGTCATATTTGGGACCTGTTTTGAAGGAAATCGGAATAAAATAATATTTGGGTCCACATTATTAACAACTTGTGTCTTCTGGGATAGAGGTGATTGAATCTGGTCTCCATGTTATTCGTGAATTTACACGTATTGTTAGCTTGTTTTGTACAAAAGGTCGTGAACGATCAAATATACACATCCTTCTCCCATCTCCACTTATTTGTTTGTAGCAGTTTGATCCAGTAGCACAATACTAACTTGGTAGAAATTAATCTCAGGTTCTACCGTTTGATAAGCACTCAACAGATACTCGGATTTAAGAGGAATGTGAGTTCAAACGGGTTTTAGATGCGGGATTTGAATGTGTTCCATTGTCTTCAGACCTATGATCTCATGGCGTCATATAATCCCAGTGTATCAGTGAGATAAACATCACTTCACCAGTAAGGTGTGTTACTTGGATCTATGTAACTAACTGCTAGTCTCACCGGGAATTTAGTCTGTTTGTAATAATCAGTCAAAGCATTTTACATATTCGGACGCTCGTGAAATAACGGACATTGTCTAGCGTTTCGCCAACTATGGCATAACTTACGAGGGAAAGTTCCGAATTACTTTTCGAATGCTTACACACTAGTTTCGGGTCCGTTTACGTAATTTAATGACGCGAAATTACGTAAATCCAGGTTGAAGAATCCATAACTAAAACTTTACAACATTTGATAAAATGAGCTTCATGACACGTGTTTCCAGAAAATAGCGTTTTACCGTCTGGTTACAGTCTGTGTGATTTAAATACAAATATCGTGTCATCTAAAGTACTATTGGGAGCCGAGTATGCAAATTTGCATTTGATGAATGATTTACATCAAACCATAGGTCTTCGCCTAATATACTTTAGATCACGCGTGCCCAACTACTACTACCACGGCGGGTAATGATGATTAGTGTTGAAGACGGACGAAAAATAAGTTACATCAATCCATAAAGTCTGGTCTGAGCCAGGTTGGTAGATGTAAACTACTCGGTTGAGGTGCGCGTGACTATCGTAACCAATGGTTGGAGACTATGTGACATGGCGTAGGTGTATACAATCTTTGTCTTCTCTCAGAACGTGGGGATGAAATTACCTCATGTCTTATGCCCATTCATTTATGTGCTTGTGTCTATAATTTGATCTCGTCAGTCGTCATATCGTATCTGCATATTACAATTTTACAACGTTATATTTACTCATTTTAACAATCCAAATGTTTACTACAAAAATGTCTGCTAGAATTGAGTCCAGGGGACTTTTCACGGTCACTATCAATTTGATAAAATAATATATTGTTGAATTGAAATCAAAAGTCTTTGGTGCACAACAGTAGAAGTTGGTTAAATTTGTCCTTTTGCAAAGGATTTTATAGGATGTCGACACATAGATTTTCTAGTTTCTCCTAGTGGGATTCCGTTAAATAATAATGATATATCAGGTGAAACTGTCAATTGTAGATTACTGATTATCATGAAGATTGATATTAGTTATATTTTACATTAAAATCAAATTTTTATTAGATTACATGTTCACTGAATGCGATTGAATAATGATAAGTTATATCGCAAAATAATACCTATGGTTGTAGAAAGACAGTTCATTCTGTAATTAGGAACTCAATAGTGCTCTTCTGTGTTTTTTTGCACACGATTGTCGCACTTACTCAATTCTTCATTTCTTATTTTACTATTAGGATCACACATCGTTGGTTCTAATTCACTGGAGTTAAATAGTCATGCTGGTTTTCTCTACCTATGAGTTCCTTTGGCAATCTCTTAAAACAGAAAGTTCTACCTAGTGGCTCAAGGATCAACTTGAAGACAAAATTTCGTAAGTGGATAAATACTTTCAAACATGCATCACCAAAAATGTCCGCTAAATTATGTAAAAGCTTTAATCGATCTGTTTACGCTCGATAGTTACTAATTCCATTGAATGAAGGGATTTAATTAGCGATAATAGTTAGGACAAATTAAAATACAATCCACAAAATCATATATACTATGCGAAACATAAAAATTTAATACCAACTTTAAATCACAGTCAATGGCTGCAAAAATCATAAATTACGTATAACGATGTAAGAATTATTCAATTAAAGGTAGTCTGAAAGACACAATACAAACTGATCGGTAGATTGTCACATGAGTTCTTAAGTAGCTTTAATTTTTCTGTGGGCGATATAGTGTACGTAGTGGGTATCCAAGAGTATAGCCTCTCCCATCTAGAGCTACATTGTAAGCGATATTCATGTAAAAATAAAAAGTAAATAAATTGGAATTATTAGGTAAAAATGTGATGAACAGTACTCACAAGTTTGCTTAATAGTATTATGTATCAAAGTTGCTACAGTTGACGGCCAAAGAGAAGAGTCCCAGGAGGTCAATTAGCGTAGCTTATGCAGAATACTTTGCATATCAGAAGAGAAGCAAAATAAGAGTCTAGAACCAACTTTGATTGAAGAACACAACGAGATGCAAAAGGATAGCTGAAGACTAGGTGTACGTATTGAGTAAACACTCCGTAATCTCATCAAATAAATATTCTTTCCGCCAATTCCGTCTGGACTTACAGTACTACAAATAACTCACGGGATCCGATTTTATCTTCACTCTATACGATTTGTGTACAAATAATTTTCATAGTATCGGCGAGTTATTCGCATTTTATCATTGTGTTCAGTACGTTTGATTTTCTCTTCATGTTGTGACATTGCAACATATTTAAAACACCCGTTTCAATTAGTACTGTTACTAATAGTTCCTATTACTATGCGTACTACACTGCACAATTAATCCGTACACTACATGGTGGCTAGATTGTTGGCAAGTTTAACTGAAAAAATTTAACTTTTATTTTGCTAGATACTTATTTCAAACAATTGGCAGGAGATTATATTTCAGCTGGTCGTGACACTCTACAACTTATTCGTCAAAATCCAGTAGGATCTACTCTCTGGACTTCAGCTGTCCTCACTGTATCATACATTACCAGCACCTGTCCTAATAAACAGAATTATTATGCTTCTCTCGTTGAGTCTGCTATTGATTTGTGGGAAGTTCCAGATCTTATACGCAACTCTGAAAGTGCCAGCTACATTCATAGATGTCTTAAATTATTTTCTAAAGGACAAATTAGGTATAATAACCTTGGATTATTTGCAATTATCTGGCGTGATGATCGAACTCAGTCGTGTTATCAGTATGCAGAAATATGCAAGTACACCTATCCTGCGAACGGTGGAGGAAATTTCACAGGTCTCCTTCGTTTATTCTTGTTCGATCGTCCTCAAGAAAATGGTCTGGAACGCATACAGAATATTGTTCAGGATCGCATTTTGGATTTTGGGTTCATGGGAAAATGGTGGTTCATGTCACAATACATGGATAACTATGACATCAATCCTAACGAATGGGAAACTTCAAAAATCTCCGAGAAGTTCACCAAGAAAGAGCCCAACTAACAACAGTTTTAAAAGCAGTGCGAAACCTAGTCAGCCTACTTGCTCGTCATCTTATTTTGAACCATTTAAAGATCAAAATTGCAGCGGACAAAATCTTGAATTACATTTGAATAGTCCCAATAACATGAGTGATGACTGGGAAATAATAAATGAAGAAGTTTTGTACGTAGACTGTCAAGGTCTGCTAGAAGATGATATCTTAACCCCATCTAGTGTCATTCGCCTTGTGGATATAGAGACAGATAAACCCCTTATGCAGGTAAATTAGCTGTCGATTCATTGTTTGTTTAAAACGAACACAAAGAAAGCGTGTATCTAAGTTCACGGTCTTTCATAATCAACCTATACTGATACCCATTTTTTCTAAGGCACCAATATATTTAAGTGTGTCATATGAAGAGTTTCATTACAACGGTGTTCGTAAACGTTGTGCTCTAGTCAAATACAAGTATCCACTTTGTGTTTTACAACTTACACCACTCATGACATCAAACATGTCAATCATAAACGGACATATAACATACAAGCGCACTCCATTCAGTTATACAGCTTTGACAAATGCCTAATGAAAGAAAATAAAAGCTATGCATGTTTCTGGACCTTTTTTTTTGAAGTTTTGTCAAATACGGGGTCATCGTCAAACTAGTATTTTAGGTTAACTTTTGAAACTACTAACTGACATGGTTTTCATAACTAGGACGTAAAATTGTAGCTAAATGGATAAACTGCTTGTGTTTCAGCGAGTATAAACCTCGCTTCACATCCGTTTGGAAATCTAGGTAGTGTTACTAGCCGTCTTACATTATGGTCCAAAGCCGAGCTCACTAACCAAAACAAGTGATCAATAATATAGCTATAATCTTCTGTGCATTTTTCTTGGCTAACATAAAGTTCTTCATTTTTAATTGGCTGTTATGTGTAAAACAAAGCCGCCTGTTCATGATTAGCGAATAAAGTTGGAATGTCATTCAAAATTAGATGAATTTTCCTTCACATAATCAAGTGTAACAAGCACACTATTCGAATTAACCGCATCAGCACTATGGATGCCTACAGATTATTCTGGTATAAGCTGCTGATTACAAAGTTTATACTAACATGGTTTGATGCTACGTTTCGTGCTGTAGTAACTAAGGTAGAAAGAAAGTTGAGATCATGAGTCAGTCAAAGCTAGACCATGGAAAACCTGGATGGCCGTTAGTTCTATTATGGGACTTCTCCACAATAGGACGTAACGGCCATCCAGTGCTTCCAGGTTTCCCATGGTGGTCTAGCTTCAATTGATTCATGATTTCAACTATTGAAATTACTGCAACCTCCACAAAACCCCTTCTGATGGGCTTTCTCAAGAAGATTTACAACTGTTTGGTACAGAACTGTCAATCTTATCTATTATGTAATCGGTTGACAGCGTTTATGCTTTATACTTTTTCTTCTGACAATTCATTTGAGGTTATTTTTCCCAATAATCAGTTATCGAGACATTTTGACAGATTGTTGATATACTTTCTGGCACTAAGTATGCATATTTTGATAATCAATAATTGTTCTACTTATATTAATTTCCTTCAAGGTTGGACCAGCGGTCTTTGAAGGACGTTATGAAGATACATTTGGGACATATTTATTCTTTGAAAATAACTCCACTCTGAATAACACTCTTTCCATAGAAGGTGCTTCTGTAGCACCAGCGCGCAAAATGGACGACCAAACACCTCAGTATACCACAAGTTATGTCGCTAAATCTTCCAAATCCCTTACATTTCAGCGCATTTTCTTGAAAGCAAAAGAAGGAAATCACTAGCTACTCCCGTTGGGAATGTTAAGTTTATAGTATCGGAGTGTTATTTGCAGTATGAGGTTTTTTACTTGTTATAGCAAATACATTTTCAAATGAGCACCCAAAGCCTTCTTAAAAAAACCATTCTCAGATATTTTCATAGTTACGTACGCCTGTTGCCCCTTCTGGAGAAGCATAGGCCGCCCACTAGAACTCTCCACCTAACCCTGTCCTTGGCAATCCTTTTCACGTTTGCTTCCAATTCTTCACGGACTATGTTCTCTGGTCTCCCACTTTTCCGTTTCCCTTCAGGATTCCAAGTTAGCGCTAGCCTGGTGATGCAGTTTGATGATTTCCGTAATATATATCCTATCCTCGTCTTTTCCTAATTTCCCCTTCAGTTGGAAGCTGGTTTGTTCTTTCTTACAAGAGCTGTCGTTCATGGTATCCGGTCATCAACGGACACTGAGTATCTTGCGTAGACAACTGTTCATAAGTACTTGTGCATTTTTGATGGTTGTAGTTCTCCACATCTCAGCTCAGTACAGTAGAACTGTCTTTACGTCCGTATTGAAGATTCTGACTTCAATATTGGTTGGCAGTTGTTTTGAGTTCGATATGTTCTTCAATTGTAGAAGTGCTGTCCTTGCATTGCCAGCCCTCGCCTTTGCGTCTGCATCAGCTATCTTGAATTCGTCGAGTTTGTCAGTATGTATAGGGAAGGCTATATTGAATATTTGTAATGCTGTTTTCCCAGTTGTCTAATGCTCCTTTAGCTTCAGTTCCATCCTGACAACCAACTGGTGGTGATATGAAGCTATGTCAACTTCTCACGTCTTTTATTGATACAAATATGATGTCTGGTTCTTCGTGGTGTGATCCGGTTAAACCAATGCAGCTTTTTGTATTCGTTTGTGGTGTAATATTGTGCCGCCTATAACCATTTTGTTAAATACACATAAAGTTGCAAATCTGTCATCATTTTCGTTTCTCGTTTCCAGTCCATGTCGTTCCATGATATCTTCATATTCGGTGTTGTCCATTCCAACTTTGGCGTTCATGTCTCCCATCAGGATGGTGATATCCTTTCTTGGGCACTTCGCTATGATTGATTTCCATAGGCAACATGTAATTTGTGTTCGTGCGGTTTAATCTGTTACGGAAAACGTACTAGACAACTCAACTTTAATTATTTCTAGCGATAAAAAGTAGGTTCATATAAACATTAGTTCAAGAGTACCAAAATATATGTGCGCCACAATAAATCACTAAGTTTGTATGGGCTGGGATACTGCCTGAGTGCCTAGACCAAACCAGATGGTCCCCTTAGAGGGCTTCTAACCACACATTTGACCTATAGGCCTAAATCCCCAGGATGCAACCCCATGTTGGCCGATAATCAAAAGTAGATTCATCACGTTAGTTCCCTCAGGATCCTAGAGCCCATGCGCACCATTGGTTTTCCAACCCCTAGATAGACTCTCCGTACGCACTAACCCTGTTTAGGAGCTGGACATTCACTTTTTGCCATCTCAACTTCGCAAACACCCCAGCCACGAGAAGGCAATAACCATATAAAAGCATTTCGATTAGGAAAAAGGATCCTACCCACTCTCAGTCGTACCAGTGCAATTGGGAACGAATATTAGAGCATCGATCGTCTTAATTGAAGTTAGAATAAAACAAAATTAACAATTTATTTCGCTTTCCCAACGTATGTTAACACAAAGAGACCCTTTCATGATTAGTAGTACAAATCACTAGTTATTCACTAAGTTACCTAAGGCAGTAATAATCTTGTTTCCCCACATCTGAACTTATAAGCGAGAACAATCATACTCTTACTTCATTTAGAAGAGAATGAGGTCGTTTACTTTTTAATTACCTTTCTTTTCGAACTAATCACATAAGCGGGAAACACTTCGAAGTCCTAAAACCCTGATTGCGAGAAACCCCTTCCACACTGATAACTAGGATTTAGTTAAATGAGTCAACTCGAATCGGATTTCTATTTTAAATAATCTAACAGCTTCAAAAAATACATTTTAAAGGTTTGCATTTGCCGGAACGTAACTGGTGTCTAAAAACTAGGACATATTCAGACCCTTTTTTGGACTTCTAACTTCTAGTGTAGTATGTATATGACTCGTTGTTTGCACGATATAATCTTATTGTTGATGACAGCATCAAAATTTTGACTTTGTGAAATCCCTAGGATTAACTAGTCGCTGATATGAACTGTTTCTATTCAGCATATACTTAAGTCTATTGTTGACATATTTCGGAATATAACTACACACTAAAGATCAGTGCTCCACTTATAGGCCTGACCCGTCCTCTTAATATATGAAGTAATTAGACAATCACGCTCTACAAACACTAAAGTAGTTGATAAAGATGTTATGGCTGCAATTTAGCTTTTTGTAAATAACTAAATAGGCGGCAAGAATACAAACAGCAAACTACTTTGAAAAAAATCTAGTGTGGATGACTCACATGGTGAAATACTATGTTTTACAATATTTCGTGGTGTGTGATGGGAAGAACATTCTAACCCTACAGAAATCGACGTCATTGAAAGGAACAAGCGGTGGGGTCGTAGACGTTTGGATTGTTTCTGTACTATGCTATTCAGAATATATATTTGACAAATCTTGTCCTGATTCAACCTTCGGTAACCGAAATCAAGCTCAGAGTTATAAGGAATTACATCACATATATTTCAAAGAAAGCCTATAAGGTGAGAAATGTTTGGGAAAATCCTAACATCATAATAAATACGTATGTGTCACCTAGATTGAGCAAAAGCAAAAATGTATCATACATGATCACAAATATAAACAATTAAGTTAGTAAGTAGGTAAGCTAGACGAACATGAAGACTGATGGGAAGTAAATAAATAAACATTAACGAACAAGAACTGATAAAGTAAATTGGTCAAAACGATACAAACAGTTTTCACAGCTGAGTGCAACATATTAAATGAGTACAACAGAGGATCGAAAGCCCGTATATTGCTGTCCATCAAAAGGAACTAACAGCAAAATGCAGCAACAAACCGTCGGGTTGTTGCCGCATGAAACGAGATCACATTATTGCACATTTCACAAAATACTTTCCAAATGAGCTGCCACATTAAGTTCCTCTTCGAATATCCAAGTAGGTGGGATAACACTGGAAAAGAGTTTGGACATGAAACAAGTGGTTTGAGACTTTACGGAGAAATGGCACGAGAAACAAAAATGTAGTGCTTTTGATGAGGGTGTTTTTAAGTTTGAAAAAACGTTCGACCGCATTTTTGAGGAGCAGTTGTATGTGAATGGTAACAACTAGGAATTATTTATGAACTATCATAACATAATCATACTTGGTTATTAAGCAACTAGTTTATGTATATCCATATTCTTTTTGTCATAAGCCTTCGTTTGACCTATTGGCTGTTATACGACTTACCATTTTTAATTTATTCTAAATCTATTAGTTACAGTCTACTGTGCTTACAGCCGCTTTTGGTTTGATCTTGTATAATTGTTTTTTTAATTTTATGGTGAGATATGGTCAGGAATGCTTGTATATAAACCACGTATGTCTGATATGTACGATTCATACGGCGGATACTGACATTTGTGCTGTGGATCGAACAGGGGGGGCTAGGCGAGAAGCTGCTATACAGAGGACCAATAAGGACTCGGAGTTGAGTCTAGGCTGCTCGTGTTGTTTAACGCACCATTGGTTTAGCACAGGGATAAGGTCACGTGATATTTGGCAGGTCATAGGACATAACTATTAAATAATTTGATTAATGTTCTTTTATAATCCCCTTGCTACGAGCACCCGCTAAACCTGTTAACCATTGTTATACGTCTTAATTATTGTTAATTATGTATCGTTTGTTCAACACCCTGTAACATATAGCTTGATTGTTCGTAAAAGTATAATTTATTATTTGGTGCGCGATGCGGTCTAATAATTCCTGTATTATAAACTAATACGTGTTTGAATTAAGACTAGATGCCTGAAATACATAGAAGCTTGGCTGCTGTCTTTTATTTTATCGGACAAGAAACTGGGATGTCGGAAAGGCGTACGTTCTTGACCAATGAGAGTAAAGATTTTCCAGGCTTTAGCTTAAGATTAATCCCTTTAGTCAGAACGTATCACTGGTCAAGACGTAGGATGTTAGTCCACAGAGAAACATTATGGGATTCTTATTGATGAATCTTATCAAACGATATTGACTAACTTTCACCTCCATAAGATTTTTAACTGGCCTGTCGCTGTATCAACACTGATCAAAGTATCCTCTCAGTAGTTTAACAAGAACAAATAGGTCTAGCAATTATGCAGCTCTTATAACATTAATTAGTCATGGGTGACTGGAAGGCTGATTTACACTATATCCAATCAAATAACAAAAAATGAGCTACAAAACAGTTCAAGTTGGAACTGATTCGACTGTGTCACAACTAATATACCAGAAAAAATTTCTTGATTCATATTCACTACAAACTAACATACCATTGAACACCTGAAGGTACACTATGTTACGGATTTATGTAAATTATTATTAAGTTTTTCACATTCTGTCAAAGCTTATAATTAGTGAGAAAAAAATTTAAAAACGAACTTATGAAAAAAGAAGGTTACCTATGTCCAGACCCGCTGATCCAGCGTACGAGAAATTCACATCGATGATCCAGCGAAATACGTTGACCAACGAACTGAGAGTCACGATCAAGATAGATTGAAGTGACAATTATTTATCGGCAGTATACTATTGTTTAAATAATTAACTTAATGTTTATTCAAGTTAATATTAACCTATAAGCATGCAACTTTGAAAAGCATAGTTGAGTTCGGACTAGTCATTAACACAAAAATTATTTGTACAAGGATGTGAGTCCAAGGGTATTTGTCATTTCCTTGGTGTGATATTATATATATAACATACTACAACAAATAAGGCCAACAAAATGAACTGCCATAGTAGAAATCATAATGGGAGAGGTTAAACATTGAGAATATGGTGCTAAAAGACAACAAAAGTATGTCAAAAGGAACAGTGAACTCAACATCTAGAGGAAAATAAGAAATGAATGAGTCTGAGTTATTGTGACCAGTTTTGAGACATGTCACTTAATTTCTTCAGCTACAGATTACCTTTATTGTTTTATTTTAGAACATAAAATCTACCTCAACGGGAAATAAAAAAAAGCACCACAAAAAGTATGGATAATTTTATGAGGAAAAAGGTATACGTCCGAAGAGGACAAATTAAACTAAATGGAATAATTAACGAAAAAAGTACATAATGGAAAAGTAAGTTCAGTTGACAATACACACGAAGTTGAAGTTATCAGAAAGAAAAAAAACTACGTCAGAATCATCAGCCATTTCTATTCCAAGCCATGTTTGATATCTTAGGTCAGTGAGTTGCATAACCTCTCTAGGATCCAAAACCAGAGGGGTCGTGGTAGACCTGTAGATTCCAGTCCTATTTGGCTTTCATTCATACTACGGAGCCAATTCAAAAACTGATCACTTCTCTAATTTTCCTTCTAAAATAAGCGTCGGCAGTAAAGCTCGATATAGAAGCCTTTGGGATTCACATGTAATCCATTGAATCCGGTGTGACACTAATTACTAAGGTAGATGGTGTTGCACGGTTCATTGAAGACAACGATAACCGAACACAGAAAATAGTCTAACATCCTCAAGTTAGAGGTGCCAGGTTTTGTGACCATAGAAAATTACTTTTGCTAACGCTTTGTAAACCTGACCTGCCCGACTAACAATCACGACGATTCCAGAAAGGGCTCACACTAAAGTAACCTCCGGCGACCATAAATACACACAGACTGATTTCGTTTATCACTTTGTTATCGCCACTCATGCATCTACGCATAAACATGAACTTTTAAACTACTTTAAACAGCTCACAAACAAGTCTGTGAATATGCAGGTACTCAATAAGTACAAGGTACGTGCCACACTAACTCCGCCTGGAGTCCCTCAGGGGGCTACTGCCGGTCCAAAGCCAAGATAAAGGATGAGGGTTGGGCATGGGGTTAGCGACCCCATCCCGTAGAAAACTAACTCGCTAAAAAAACGCTAACCAGAAAAAATTATTCAAACCATTTAAACTCTGCCCTGGGAGTCAGGAGGTCTTCGTTTAGAAGAATTATGACGCCTCATGATGAAAGCCGAGTTTCTTCGGAAGTCACGAGACCGATGCCCCTTCTGACAACCAGAGCAACCATTTATTTAGGTACATGGAATGCTCGCACAATGTGGGAGACTGGGAGAGTTTTCCAAATTGCTGCAGAAATGAGGAGATACAATTTAGAGATGCTTGGGATCAGTGAAACACATTGGACGTAAGTTGGACAACAACGACTAGCTTCAGGGGAGCTGCTGTTATACTCCGGACATGAAGAAGAAAACGCTCCACATACACAAAAAGTTGCATTGATACTGTCCAAACAAGCACAAAATGCACTTATAAGATGGGAATCTCATGGACCAGGGATCATCAAAGCCTCCTTCAAAACAAAGAAAACGGGGATTACAATGAACGTCATCCAATGCTACGCGCCTACCAATGACTACAATGAAGACGCTAAAGATCAATTCTACGATAGGCTGCAGTCAATCGTCGAGAAGTGCCCAACAAAGGACCTGACTATTCTGATTGGAGACCTAAATACCAAGGTTGGAATTGACAACACCGGATATGAAGAGATCATGGGACGACACGGACTGGGAGAAAGGAACGAAAATGGTGAGAGATTTGCAAACCTATGTGCCTTCAATAAACTGGTCATAGGCGGCACTATATTCCCACATAAACGCATACACAAAACGACATGGACTTCACCGGATCACATCACACAGAACAAAATCGACCATATCTGCATCAACAAAAAGTTCAGGAGGACGATGGAGGACGTGAGAACAAAGAGAGGAGCTGATATAGCATCAGATCATCACTTGCTGGTCGCATAGATGAAATCGAAACTCGAAAAGCACTGGACAACGGGGAGGACAATATCACAAAAATTTAATACGGCTCTTCTTCGGGATAATGACAAACTCAGCAAATTCAAGATAACCCTCAGCAATAAGTTCCAAGCCTTTCATGATCTACTCAATGGAGAAGAAACTACTATGGAGAGCAACTGGAAAGAGATAAAAGAGGCAATCACTTCAACATGTCATGAGGTTCTGTTCCAAAAGAAGCACTATCACAAGGATTGGATCACGGTCGATACACTGGATAAGATTCAAGAAAGGAGAAACAAGAAAGCAGCAATCAATAACAGTCGAACAAGAGCAGAAAAAGCCAAGGCACAAGCTGAATACACAGAAGTAAACAAGCAAGTGAAGAAGAGCATCAGAACTGACAAACGTAAATATGTGGAAGATTTAGCAATGACGGCGGAAAAGGCTGCAAGAGAAGGAAACATGAGACAACTGTATGACACAACAAAGAAACTCTCTGGAAATCACCGTAAACCAGAACGACCAGTGAAAAGCAAGGAAGGCAAGGTAATCATCAACATTGAAGAACAACGAAACAGGTGGGTAGAACACTTCAAAGAACTCTTGAATCGACCAGCCCCACTGAACCCACCCAACGTCGAAGCGGCACTCACGGACCTCCCAATTGATGTTGGCCCACCAACAATTGAAGAAATCAGCATGGCTATCAGACAAATCAAGAGTGGCAAAGCAGCAGGACTAGACAGCATTCCAGCAGAGGAACTGAAAGCAGACGAAGCGGCAACTGCAAGGATACTCCAAACTCTCTTCAGAAAGATCTGGGATGAGGAACAGGTAGCAAAAGACTGGAAAGAAGGACTTCTAGTCAAAATACCAAAGAAAGGCGATCTCAGCAACTGTGACAACTACAGGGGAACCACTTTTCTCTCAATACCAGGAAAAGTCTTCATCAGGGTATTGTTAAACAGGATGAAGGACTCAGTAGACGCACAACTTCGCGACCAACAGGCAGGATTCCGTAAGGATAGATCGTGCACAGATCAAATCGCAACTCTACGGATCATTGTGGAACAATCAATTGAATGGAATTCATCACTCTATATCAACTTCATTGACTACGAAAAAGCGTTTGATAGCGTGGACAGAACAACCCTATGGAAGCTTCTTCGACACTACGGCGTGCCTCAGAAGATAGTCAATATCATACGGAATTCCTACGATGGATTAAACTGCAAAATCGTTCATGGAGGACAGTTGACAAAGTCGTTCGAAGTAAAGACCGGTGTCAGGCAAGGTTGCTTACTCTCACCCTTTCTCGTTCTCCTGGTGATCGACTGGATCATGAAGACGTCAACATCTGAAGGGAAGCACGGGATACGGTGGACAGCTAGGATGCAATTGGATGATCTAGACTTCGCAGATTATCTGGCTCTTCTATCGCATACGCAACAACAAATGCAGGAGAAGACGACCAGTGTAGCTGCAGCCTCAGCAGCAATAGGTCTCAATATACACAAAGGAAAAAGCAAGATTCTTCGATATAACACAGCATGTCACAATCCAATCACCATTGACGGAGAAGCTTTGGAAGATGTAAAAACCTTTACATATTTGGGCAGTATCATCGATGAACACGGTGGATCCGATGCAGATGTGAAGGCACGGATTGGCAAAGCAAGAGCAGCATATTTACAACTGAAGAATATCTGGAACTCAAAACAATTGGCAACCAACACGAAAGTCAGAATTTTCAATACAAATGTTAAGACAGTTCTACTGTATGGGGCGGAAACCTGGAAAACTACGAAATCCACCATCCAAAAGTGTTTATTAACAGTTGTCTACGCAAAATAATTCGGATCTGTTGGCAAGACATTGTCAGCAACAACCTACTGTGGGAGAGAACAAATCAGATCCTAGTGGAGGAAGAAATCAGGAAGAAGCGCTGGAAGTGGATAGGACACACATTGAGGAAAGCACCGAACTGAGTCACAAGACAAGCCCTCACATGGAATCCTCAAGGTCGAATGAGGAGAGGAAGACCAAAGAACACATTACGCCGAGAAAGGGAGATAGATATGAGAAAAATGAACAAGAATTGGATGGAACTAGAAAAGAAGGCCAAGGACAGAGTGGGTTGGAGAATGCTGGTCGGCCGCCAATGCTCCATTGGGAGTAACAGGCGTAAATAAGTAAGTAAGTACGTGCCACACTTACGAGTACTGGTTCCAAGTAGACTGAGCGCGATACGCATAATTTGAGTATCACCTCACATTAAAATAAAACCATCCGCGTACATAAAATCGAAATTCTTTTAGGTAACTGATACACATCACTACTACTTATTACCACCACTAGGAGTACTTCCAGAATGTTATCGATGACAAATTTGAAGAATAATACTGACTATGAGAAGCCCTGTCTAACCCAACTGCCTGAATAGGACAATAGGGAGTGATGATTGTATGAAGCCACTCTGATTGATCTATCTATGTACGTAGCCTTTAAAATGCTGATGAATTTTCCAGACACACTTTAACGGACAATCCCAGAGTACAGTACTATCCAATTGTTGGCCTGGAATAAATATGGCAGTGATCTAACGTTTGACGAGGGTAAAAATGCGATAAATGCATAAACGACCTAAACGTAAACCAATCTTCTCGTTAGTCAGACTTTTGTGGGTTGGTAAACTGTTTCTGAAAAAGCACACATTGTCTAGGATATCGTTGATTAGCGTCCTATCAGGTCCCATGCTTTTATCCATCAAGTCAGTCGGATGGGTTAAAATATCTTCTAGAAGTTATCAAGTGTTGCTGCCATCTATAAACATTTCGCATTATTTTATTTATATTTATTTGAATACATAAACATTGGTACAATAAGGCAACAAACACATATACACCACACAATAACAATGAGAATGTGAGGAGATAAAAAATGTGAAGTGTGTATAATAAAGCAAGAACAAGGAAAAGAAATTAGTGTATGAGTGAAATTATTAATGATAATTGTAATTATAATACGAGAAACAATTCATTTAGCAGAAGTACAACCAGAAAAAATTCTTCCAGTTAAAAATGTTACGTCCATTTTTTATGAAGAAAATAAAAGAAAGTTACAAAAGATCGCCATTGGCTTCTATTCTGAGCCATGTCTGATGACGTCTCAAGCCACTGCGTTGCATCATCTCTAGGACCCCAACCAAGGAGTCGTAACAGACCAACAGAAGCCAGTCCTGTGCACCTTTCTGTCATACCACGACACCATGTCTTACACTGACCACCTTCGTTTTTTCCAACTGCTCCCAGCGTCGGCAAATAATGCACAACGTGGAATTCTCCGGGCAGAATATGTCCAAGCCACCAATTAAATTATCGTCGCTGTGCCCGAACACACTGCCGAACCTCTGCATTACTGACATGGTGTCGCCACTGGATGTCAGCAATCCTTCGGAGACAACGATGGTCAAACACAGAGAGTCGTCTAACATCCTCAACTCGGAGAGGCCATGTTTCACAAGTATAGAGTAAGAATGCTCTCACCGACGCGTTGTAGATCCAACCTTTTACAACCAGACTAACATCACGAAGGCGCCAAAGATGGCCCAGATTGGCATAAGCCGCTCTGGCTTTCACTATACGTGAATTGATCAAATCACTCTCGCCACCGTCAGCAATTATGCAGCTACCCAGATGCATAAACTTCCCGACTACTTCTATCTGCTCACCGCCCAGAGTGAGTACAGGATTAGAATCCTGCCAGTCTTGTAGAAGTACTTTGCGCTTCGAAGGTGCAAAGCACATACCATACCTACGGACATTGATTGCCAACTGATTAAGTGCGGATTGCACGGCTTGGGTATTATCGCACAGTAAGACAATATCATCCGCGTACTCAAGGTCGAGAATTCTTTCTCCAGGCAACAGATCCATACCGCCATTACCTACATCCATCAGAGCAGTTTCCTGAACGGAAGATAAAAATATGATCAATACATCCTCGATCAGAACGAAAACCAGCCTGCTCCTTGCGAGACAGCCTTTCTCGGTTTTGAATAATCTACGAAGTATGACGGAAGCCAATAGTTTGGACGCAATCGGAAGTAGACTTATCCCCCGAGAGTTGATACAGAAAGCACGTGAACCCTTTTTAAAGATAGGAAAAACTATCGACTCATTCCGTGATGTTGGGATACTCTGTAATTGTCAGACCTTTGTAAACGTCTCAACCAGAAAGTCATCTGGGCCTGGTGACTTGTGGCGCTCCAAGAGTTGGAGTTCTTTGCGGACTTCCGCCTCGTTAGGTTGATCACTTGTCACAGGCCATGGAGGGCAGGATAGTCTGATTGATATTGCCGGGGCAGCAGACCAGTTGAACTGCTCCATGAAGAACACTGCCCATTGTCCGAGACGTCGGTAGATGTTATTGATTATCATCCTGTCATCTTCACAGATTGTTTTGTTCACACCAGACTTCTCGCTACCATTGACTAAGATGAGTTGAAAGAGCTTCCGGCCGTTACCAGGTGCAGCTGCTGCTTCCAACTCATTGCCACGCTCTGACCACCATTCTTTATTATCCTTACACAAGCTTTGCCTCATTTTATTGCGTAACAGTCTCCGTTTGTGGTCAAACTCGTGATCACCAGGAGTAGACAAACGTGCCTCAAGAAGTTGTAAGGTGTCTGCAGAAACCCAGTGCTTATAAGCGGGACGTTTCACAAACCAACAAGAAACGTAACCCACCATTTCCATGGTGTCAAGCAAACGCATCTATCTCTCATCCATACTTTTCCACGAGTTGATAGCTAGCTTACAATATAATTCGACTCGACATTTAGTTGTAGCAAAAGTTGCAGTGGATTTGCCTGGATCGATCCGTTTAGGAAAATGAAATTTTTGATCATTGATACGTAAGATAAGATTATCGCTAACCAAACCATGATTGAAGTTCAGATAAGAACTCTAAAAGGAACGATAGTCGTGTACATAACTATTCTAGTATTATCTAATCGCTATGTGACCAGTCTGAGTCGAAGTTTGAGTTGGGAATGCAGGACGTCAGTTAGTACACAGGAATAACTGTGACGGGAGTTTGTGCTGGCTGGTAGTTGTTGCTTGTAGGAGACGGTTACTGTTTTTTGACCTGCAGCCCACGAGTCTCCATTGGGCAGCCACCCAATCAACTGTCCTCTGTCTGTAGATGCCCGACCTGCACATTCAAATCTCCGCCTGGCACTACAATATCTGTCGGGCGCACTTTCGCAAGAAAAATAATTTGGTAGTGGAATTCATACTTTATTGGATCTATACTGCAATGTGTCGGGACATAGGCGAAAATAGAAAAAAGACCGTTTCAAACGCCAGTCCATCCTCATTTTGATTGAGCCTTCCGATCTGACGACACACAAACGACTGTTAATAGGGATATGATCAATTAGTGCTGCCTCTGCCATGTCACTTAATACAACGCCCATGGCAGTTAAATCGGACAAAGATGTCACAAAGTCCTTGTATATGCGCACGTCAACAAGCTTTACGAATCGACAGATGGAGAGAATTTGTAATGCTTCACCAGAGTCTTTAATACTGGTCTCAGAGGTACAACAGATGTCAACACAAAGACTTTCCAATGACAGCCAACCGTATCTGTTGTCCTATCCTTATCAGAATGTGACTGTTGAAGGAGGTCAGTTTGGATGAGATACTTTGATCCATAAAAGGTGTATTAACAATCGCATTCCGTGGAAGTATCCATAAATTCGACTAAACTGTGACATGAGATTGTTTAAATAGGACAGAACCTCCGACATAGACGAGCTACTGGGTGGTTTGACAAATAAAGAATACACAAAGAGAAAATAAAGGAAAACTGAGAAGTGACAGTGTAAATTAAAAATGAGTGTGACGAAATAATAATCAATACTACTTGCATGAATAACAAAGCGAAACGTGAAAATTTTTCCGACGGTAATTATCATAAAGATTGTGACAGGAGGTGGGGGCTTCAGCAATTGTTATGAGTGGAATAGTGATTGACAATAGTGAATAGAATAAGTTAAGAAACCAATAAAATATTTACATACTTATTGCCTTAACTTCCAAAACAGTGTCACAATTTGAATACTAAGTATGATCACTATAATTCCAATAGTGTACTACAACGATTTGTGATACTGATATAATTTACATATTAAGTTTCCCCAACTGCAATCGACTGTACATTAACTTACCGTATGAGGAGTTGTCAACAGCAATGATATGTGCTGATGAACATCTTTTGTATGCCTCAACAGTGATGGTAGGGCCGATTCTTTACTAACCATGATATTTGGTGGATTAACATTGGGACGTGCACGCGGATTTGTAGATTTGTCATAAAGTTTAAAAGGTAATTTGCAAAAACCCAGTGGTAAAATGCGAGATCGTTCATGATTATTTTTTGTTTTGAGCTCCTTATTAAGAAGATATGAAATTTTTAACTTGTTTTTAACCAGTATTTGACTTCTGTAATCATAAAAATCCAAGCGACGAACTATAATACAAAGTACAAAATGTAAAAACATGGACACATCAAATGGTTGGTGTGTAACTCACCAACAAATGGTCAAATGCAATATGCTGAGGCTACAAGACCTCATAAACGAGAATATTCTTACCGTATTTATTATCTCATTCACAAAGAATAGTCAAAATGAATTTGGAAATCATTTGGCATATAACCAGCCGATAAATTACCAGACTGTCATACGTCGGAAAAAAAACAGATTATTTCACAACTCGGATCATGCCCACTCCGACATGAACCAAAACAGCCGCTAACAACTGATAAGTGGTTTTTTGAAGACTGTATCGTTTGAAATCCATTATCTCACATCGACATCATCCGCTACAGCCATTTTTAAGAGTGCAGAGCTGAAGTTTCATGAAGTTGAGTAGTATTAAACTGGGCAAAAATTGGTTTAATACTCCCTTATTAAAAATGGTTCAGCCAGTGCCAGAAGTGTTAGTAAGTACTAGCTTAAAATGAGTAGCCCAAGTGCTGGACACCTTAAATGATTGAGATTCACAATATTAATGGTTGACTGACTTCGACTGATCCAATTTATCATAAGATAAAAATATACTAACAATATTTAAAGAAAATCTTATTAACATTAAAATGATACCCATCCATTTAACAAGCTTTTATGTATAGACTAACCTCGATAAGTTCGCGTTTTCTTACGTTTGCGCAAATTTTTTCTGGTAGACAGCGGAGTAGATTTCTTTAATGGACTTTGTAAATTAGTTATTTCTTCTGAATGTGGCTGACAAAGTATGTTCTTGTCGGTTAGAGTTACTTTGGGTAAGGAATCACTACTGATACGATTTGTGCGCATATGTGTCCGTTGAACATGACGTTCTAACAATGTGGAGGTAGAAAATCGTAATGTGCATGCATCGAAAATGCATCTAAATGGTTTTCCTTTGGCATCCGTATGATGAAGTATATGTTGTTCCAGCCATGCAGCCGAAACACTAGGTCTTCCAAACACCCGACAATCCTGCCACAAACAACTAAAATATTTCCGCCGACTGGATAACTGTGGGACGACATGAATTTGTTGAATGTGATTGATCAACTGAGTTCTTTCAATGTCAACACACCCACAACCCTTCCACTTACAAACGGAGGAAATACTACTGGACCCACAGGAAGTAGATGAAACAGAAGAAGCAGAAGTATCTTGGATCGAATTGATCACAGACTGTTCTTTGAGACTGTTGTCTTCTACAGGCGATTTGGGGTCAGGTAAACATTCATCCCTATTTAAGAAAACATGACGATGCTTGAAGTGATTTCTTCTTTCTACATTCCTGTTCCGATGACGCAGACGCAGATATAAAGAATCAGATAACAACGACAGTTTATTGGCCAACCTAGTGTGGGACTTGTTTGTTAGAGCACGAGTCCGAACAGACAGTGAAGGTTTCAGTTGAGTGCAAACTGTGTGTGTCATGCTACTTGTTAAAATTAAAGACAGACATTGATCGTCAGCTCCATCATGACATACAATCCTAAACACCGAAGAATACACAAGGATTTGTTGATAGAGAAGATATACATAATTATTTAATTATGATGGACCTGAGGTTGCCACTTGTGTGAAAACCTATTTAGTAAAAATGATCGCTCACAACGTAAAAAAATAATCAACAACACGTAGTAAAAATACGGTTTTCCGCGATATATTCGAGTTGCAACTACTAACGTAGATTGTTTCTATAAACCATTCTAGGTTTGTGGTCATAAGTGCTGTTAAAAGTATGAAGGCGGTTATCACTTTTCAGCTGCTCACACCATGGAAGGGTCCTCCTTGAGGTACCTGGGAATGAAATAGTGTTAGGGGTGGTCTTCGTGACCTGATGGTGTGATTGCAATGCCGAAGGGACAACTACTTGAGGTCAGTCACACACGAAATTTTTGTGTCAGCTCCGTACTTGATGAGACCTTACCGCAGGAGGCGGAAATCCTTGGAATTAGACGAGGTGTGCATTTTCAGGGTCAACCTTTTCTAACCCCACCCTTCCTTTGTGGGAAGGCAGAATAGATGTTATGCTGATTGTCTTAGGTAAAAACCTTATTGCCATCACACCTCTGTACAGTTAACAGTACGAACCTTGGGTTTGCTGCTTTTAATCTTACCGTTATTCAATCGATCTGCCTGGTATGGCAGGACCTTGAGGAAAGATTGTTTCAGCCAGTATAGCCCGATTGGTTCGTCACGATAGGTAAGCCCGATCACCACGTCAAGATAGCAGTAACAGTCAGACATGCTAAGTTTAATTAATTTTTTTTTTACTGATAGTTAGTTATTTCTCAGAGCACCAAGTTTAAAAGTTTATTCCAAAGTATTTGTAATAAGGAATAGAAATCGAACAGAGGCCACAAAGTGCGACACTACTTCGCTTACAAAAATCCACGGTAAAACATAACATTACTACAGCGTTAGCCAGTAACACTTAATGAGGTCTTTTATGTACGCTGTCAATATTCAGTCAGTCACAACGTAGAGTCAGTATGTATGTAAATCGGTTCAAGTTCACATACCCCATTAGCATAGAGTGAAGAATTCTCCAGGCCAAATTTCTGAAGAGGTAGTAACAGAATCAGTGGTAATAGGAAAGATTAGGTAACAAAGATGCGGATCAAAAAGAAAATATAAATTAACGAAATAAAAGTATAAAGGAAGTTGTAAGGAATTTAGAATTTGGGGAAAGACAAAGAATGGATGTACCTAGGCCACTGCGAACGATCTTGAGCAATGTCATTCAACCATTGGTTACGATAATCACGCGGATCCTAACCAGGTAGTCTTTACCTAACAGCACGTCTAAGTTCAATTGTCGGTGACATCATAGACTGATGCCATATTCTGGTTTGGCCGCCCCTAGCTTTCTTCCAGCCTACTCCCACACCAAAAAACATTGCCTGTCGAGGTAGGCGATGGATGGACATGCGTAATGCATGTCCTAACCACTTCAGTTAATGAAGATTTACTATATCATCAACCAATTCCCCATCTTAACCAAGACTATGTTTACTCCGTGGTCCAAAAATTCATGAGCAATGTTTTGTAGACACCTATGATCGAATAAAAGTAACCTGCGAATATCGTCTACTCTTAATGGCCATGTTTCACATCCATAAAGTAGAGTGGCGTGAACTACTGCGCAGTAAACTCGCCCTTTGATTGGAAGATGGATATTTAGCCTATGCCACAAGTGACGCAATTTGGTAAAAGCCAATCGAGCCTTCTCAATCCGTACCCAGATTTCGTCAGAAGCCAGATTAACAGCATTGATGACACTCCCAAGACAAATGAATATTGGTACAAAGGGGCACTGAATATATATGCATCATACAAATCATTTGATTTGTGATCAGCGATCGAGATCAGTTAGATGGGATTACGTCCAGTTCCCAGATTTTAGCTAAGATTTCAGTTAATCTAACTACCAAAACTTGACCACAATCCTTAAAAATATTCTGAGTTACCCCCCGTCAGACCCTGTTGCTCTCTGTCACTTTAGATTACTTACAGCCTTTTCAAGTTCATTGAGTTGGAGGACCTACACCAGGTTGCTTGGAGGTAGTGGATAACTGCAGTTTGGCTGAAGGCCAGTTGAACTATTCCCTATTGTTCTGACTACCAGTTTAATCTCTTGGATTGAGAGGAAACAATATTCTAATCCTTTTCCGAGATAGTTTCACCAACAGCCGTATTTTTAATACCTGTTTCCTTGATAAGTCTGAACGGTCCATCGACAAGTCCATTGTTGAGGTCACCAAGTCAGACGATGTTTTTTCTTATGTTTAAAGTTGGCGTTTGTCAGAAATAGACGGTCGCCATTATCTGTTCGCTGAGCCATAACACCATAAGATCCGCCTAAGTACCTTTCGATTTGGTTTAGTCTACCTACTTGAGAATTAAAATCATTTGCCACCATTACTACATCATAGAGTTTAGATTTTTCAAGGATGTTGGACAGCTTGCTAAAAAACTTATCTTAAACTTTGTACGAGCTGAAATCAGTGGGAGCGTATGTAGAGATAACGAAGAGTTAACAGTGGGGATTTCTATCTTTTCGAGTTCCTGCTTTCCCGTTTCGTCGAATAGTGCATAAGCGATTGTCTATTGAAATCCAGTATAACAGCCTGTTTTGATTTAGAACTTAATGCTATACCGATAACAGCGGGGTGCCGGGAAGTAGCAGGGGGGACTACAGATACTGGAAGTGTTAAATGCACCAAATTTTTGTACTGACAAGGTGAGGTCGAATGAATGGCCGTATTGAATCCCGTATGAGGGTTTCGGAGACGTAGCATGCATCGATGGGGCGAGACTCGGGAGTCCTAATCCTTTGGCCTACGGAGAATGCCCAGTCAGTCAGTTATCTAAAACGTAGAACCAGGCACATATATGCATTGATTAAAGTTTCCATACCTCATTAGCACAAGATGAACACCAAATTCATAGAAGCAGTTACTTCCATGGCAGTAGGAAAAACACTTCACATGAGGATATGATACAGGGAGAAAAAACTACTTCGTAGTAAGAAAGGTATAAAGTAATTTCATTCTCACGTTTTAATGGAAAACAGAGTGTATACACCTACGCCATTGTGATCGATTCTGAGCCATATCACCCAGAGTCTCCAACCATTGGTTGCGATAGTCACGCGGACCCAACCAAGTAGTTTACATCTACCAACACCGCCCAGACCAAAAACTAGTGACTTCGAGCAGTGATGCCACGTTTTGGTTTGGTCACACCTAACCTTCTTCCGTCCATCTCCAACACTAATCATCATTGAGCGTCATGGTGGTCAGGTATGCGTAATACGTGGCCCAACCATCTCAGTCGATGAAGATTCACAACCTCATCAACTGATTTGCCATCATTCCCTAATACCCTGACCGTTGTTGCTACCTTGACATGGTGGTCGGGCTTGCCTATCGTGATGAAGCAACTGAGCTATACTGGCTGGAACAACCGTTCCTCAACTTCCTATCATGCCAGACAGGTCGGTTGAAGAGCGGTAAGACTGAAAGCAACAAAACCAAGGTCCGAAGGCGAAGTCGTACTGCTGACTGTACAGAGGTGTGACACCAGTAAGGTGTTTCCTTCAGACAACCAGCATGACAGCGATGTTGCCTTCCCACAAAGAGGGGTGGGGCTAGAAAAGGTCGACCCTAAAAATGCACACCTCGCCTTACCCTATGGATATCCGTCTCTGGCGGTAAGGTCTCAACAAGTACAGAGCTAACACAAAAACTACTCATAAAAAGGTCGTGTGTGACCGACCTCAAGCAGCTGTTCCTTGGGCACTGAGGTCACACTCAGGTCACTAAGACCACCACTAGTCCAATTTCCTTTTCAGGTACCTCCAGCAGAACCCTTCCACTGTGTGGGCAACCGGGAAGTGATAACCGTCCTCATACCTCAAACAGCACTCAAGACCACTGTGTTCATAATCAACCTCCCTCTTCAATTCCTATTATTCCTCCTACATGGACTTCCAACTCTAAACATCCTCTTTCAGCTTTCTCCTCAAGTGTCACCACAGTCAACGATTCTAGTGCGCAAAACACTGTCCCAGGTCTACTGAAACCTCGCTCCAAACTACACATTGGAGCCTTCAACGTATGCACACTATGCCGAATCGGTCAGCAGGCTTCCTTGGCTAAAACCTTAGAATCTCGTACTATTGATGTATGCTGTGTCTCCGAAACACGCATACAGGATCCAAGTGTGGTTATTCACTTGACCTGACCTCGGCAAAACGGAGTGCCGACGATATACACCCTCCGTGTATCTGGCGACCCGATGGCTAGTTCTCGTATTTATTTATTTGAACACATAAATATTGGTACAGGGGGACACCAAATATATATGCGCCACACAAAACAATGATAATTTGAAGAGAAGGAGAAAAGAGAAAAAAAAAGTAATGAACGTGGGGACTTATAGATAAATAAATAAAAAGAGAGAGAGAACAATGATGGGGAAAACGGAAAGGTACAATCAGAAGAAATCTTTCAGTTAAGGAAGATACAACCACTTTTTATGAAGAAAGTAAAACAAGGTTACAGCAGGATCGCCATTGGCTTCTATTCTGAGCCATATCTGATAACGTCTCTAGCCACTGCGTTACACCGTCTCTCGGACCCCAACCAGGGAGTCGTGAAGGACCAACAGAAGCTAGCCCTTTGCAGCTTTCTTTCATACCACGACACCATGTCATATACTGACCACCTCTCCGCTTTTTCCAACCGGTCCCAGAGTCGGCAAATAATGCACGATGAGGAATTCTCTGGGACGACATTCGTAGAACATGTCCAAGCCACCGAAGTCGGTGTTTCAAGATGGTGACACCAATTTCATTATCGTCTCTGTGCCGAACATACGATGCCTAACCTCTGCATTACTAACATGGTATGCCACTGGATGTCAGC